TAATTTCTCCAGTTATACAGGAAGTGGCAGAGTCAAGATTCAGTCCCAGTTATTAATGCAGAACCTAGTCTCCAGCCACAATGCCATAAAAGGCAATGAGTCTTGCTACTGTTTTGATTATCTGCTCATTTGAATCTCTGTCAGTAGCATGCCTGCTTGGACCTCCTCATGCAGAAGTTTTAAATTAGACAGAAATGGGTTTAAGTCTCAGGTCTCATTACCTAGTCCCACAACTTCGGTCAAAACACCATAACTCTACAAGTCATAATTTTCTCCTCTGTAAACTGACATAATAATACCTATCTCACAGCATTGGGATGAGGCTTAAGTCAGAAAATTATGAAAAAGAACTGAGTGTAGTGCCTGGAATATGCTCCATGATAGACAAGTCTTATGATTATTGTTCCCTACCCTCGTTCCCCATCATCATCCGCTTCCCCCCGAGTCATAGCAGTATACTTAATTATCTCTTTACATACTCTAGGAAATCTGCCAAAAGGCAAGAACTATATTATTAACCAGTTTTCTCAAGCACCCAGTCTACTGCCTGGCACTCAGACGCACTTTTCCTCCCAGCTGCCATAGAACACTTTGGCCATGGAGGCACTACTTTCATTTGTTCCGAATTTCAGGCTATACCCAACCCTCCAGCTATTTGTTGCCTTCCCAGAATTTGAGCTAATGGAACTTTTCGTGTTGTGCTGTTAAACACTAACACCTCCAAACAGTCCCTTCTGGCAGGACTTTCCTTATCAGTTATAGCCTCCGTAACCCAGTACATAGGCATATGCCCTTCTATGGTATAAGATAATTTCTATATGAGGAAATCTTCAATCAGAGCAGCTATGACATGGGAGAAGTATGCAGTGATCGCAGAGGCTGAAGACTCTTAGGTACAGCTTTTTGAGCTGGATTTGAAAAGCTTGAAGGACCTCAGGCTAAAATCTCATCACGGAAAAAGAAGGTCGAAGCATATGGCTTGTCAAGCAAAAGAAGCCACTTTGCCCTTTCAGAAACAGCACAGAGGTACTATGAAGCATGTAAGATAACTTTTAAGGTTACTTCTAGGGGATATAAATATAAACGCTAATAAATGGATATGTAGCAGAGGCATTCATAACTTTTGATGAGTAAAGATGACTCAGAAAGATATTCTAATGGAATCAGTCAGTAAATGAAAATGTTATTTTCATTCTAAAAGTAAGGGAGAATTTTAATCAAACATATGCTAATTTAATAATCTTGATACATACTGATTTAAAGAACATTGAATCAAAATGTTTACTTTTTCAAAGACCACCTCCCGTGATAGGACACTTTTTGAGACATCTAAATTGGGAGATATTCTGACTGTACTAATTGATATTTTATAGAGCCTGAGTTGTCTTCAGGTGTTTTATAAGAAAATGAGTGTCTTTTTCTTCACACAGTAGTGTGAGGAATGATGTAATAAACTGGTTTAAAAAGGTAATACAGAAGGGGCGCCTGGGTGGCTCAGTGGGTTAAGCCTCTGCCTTCGGCTCAGGTCATGATCTCAGGGTCCTGGGATCGAGCCCCGCATCGGGCTCTCTGCTCGGCAGGGGGTCTGCTTCCCCCTTTCTCTCTGCCTGCCTCTCTGCCTACTTGTGATCTCTCTCTGTCAAATAAATAATAATTTTTTTAAAAAAAGCGGTAAGGTATTGCCACGTGGATTCTTTCAAAAAAAAAAAGTAATACAGAAAATGGTAATATGAAAGGAGTTATTTGAGTTTTCTAAAGTCTGTCTGTGGTAGACAGACTCTGAGATGGCCCCCAGTGTTCCTACTTTCTGATATTCATGTCCTTATATAATTTTCTCCCTTAGAGTGTGGATGGAATTTGTGGCTTGGTATGGCAAAGGTAATAAGATATCACTTCCACGATTAAGTTACATAAGATTACAACTTCCATCTTGCAAACAGCCTCGTTAATAAAGCCCACTGCCAAGTTGTGAACTGCTGCATGAAGATCCCACGTGGCAAGGAACAGAAGTCTTTATCTGCCATCATCTTGAAAGCAACAAAGGCTCTAGCCAAAAGCACAAAAGGAATTGATTAAATCATGTCAATAACTCCAGAAGTGATGAGACCTCAGCCTCAGCCAACATCTTAAATGTGGCATCATGAGAAATCCTGAAGCAGAGGAACCACCAGCTAAACTGTGCCAGGGTTTATGACCCACAGAAACTGTGAGGCAATCCATAAATGTCTCTCATTTTGAGTTGCTAAGTTTGTGGCAGTATTTCACAACAGAATGATAGTAATTAATTAATTGCAACTGCCACTTAGTAAGTGTCCATTACACATCAAGCAGTCGGCTGGGTAGATAATCTAGCTAACCAGCCAGCTTGCTACCTATATGGTATGTATGTAGGTAGTTAGGTAGGATGTTTTATATTTCAAAAAACAGCATTTATGAGAGTAACAAAAATAAAATTAGGAAGTGAGCCAGCGATTTCAAATATGATTTTAAATACTATTTCCTTGGTGTGAAATTATTTATGCACATTTTCTAGTTGCACTTTTAACACCTCCTCCTCCCCTTTTAAGTCCATATACCTCCAGTCTGAATTATTATAATATTATTTATAAAGAAACAACTTTCTTCTGACAAAACATGGTGCCTATCACAAAGATAAGAGAGCTAGAAGATAAGAGAGCTAGAAGTTAGGTCAGTAGAAAATATACAGATGAAAATATGGAGAGGAACAATAGGAATTACAGAAATGACCAAAAGAGACATGAGGAAAATGGAAAGAAAGTGAGAAAGAATGGAGAGAAGCAATATTTACAGAAATATTAGGAGAGAATTTTCCAAGCCTAATGGACTACATCAAACCATGGTTTCAAGAAGTACTCTGGGGGCACTTGGGTGGCTCAGTCGTTAAGCGTCTGCCTTCGACTCAGGTCATGATCCCAGGGTCCTGGAATCGAGCCCCGCTTCAGAGTCCCTGCTTGGCAGGAAGCCTGCTTCTCCCTCTCCCACTCCCCCTGCTTGTGTTCCCTCTCTCTCGCTGTATCTCTCTCAGTCAAATAAATAAAATATTTTTTTTAAAGTACTCTGAACCCCAAGCGGGATAAGTAACAAAAATCACAACTAAATACATTTCAATTACACTGCTGAAAACCAAAGACAAGAAGAGAAACCTAAAACACAGATAGAAAAAAAGATGCATGACCAGCAAAAGAGGAACAAGATTGACAGCGAATTCCCTCCTCGTGAATAAAACAGCCAAACAAAAATGGAATTGCATTTTTTTACTGTCAACAAAAGTAACCACCAGCTTAGAATCCTGTATCTAGTTAACCTGTCCTTTAAAACTAAAAATCAGTTAAAAGCACATGCAAACTAAACCGAAAGGATTCACTTCCAGCAGACCCTACATTAAAGGATAAAGGGAGCTTTTGAAGAAAAAAGAAAACCATCTCAGTCAGAAATAAGAAAATGGAGGAAAGCCTGAGAAGCAAAGGAAACGCATATCAATCTAAATAACTATTGACCATACAAAGGCATTAATAAATTCCTGTGGGGCTCAAAAGTCATAGAAAGTGAAAACTCATGAAAATAATCACAGACGTGATAGAAAGGGGTAAACGTGTAAAAAGTGTTCACAGCAACATTGCTTATAATAACAAAAACTAACAAACAACCCAATCTCTGATAGCAAGAGACTGGATAACTAAATTATGCTGAGCTCACATGATGACCCAACATATAAATGAGAAGACTAATAAACTACAGCTTTGTGCATCAGCATAAAGAAATCCCAGAAGTAGGGCGCCTGCGTGGCTCAGTCCGTTAAGTGTCTGCCTTCCGCTCAGGTCATGCATGATCCCAGGGTCCTGGGATGGGGCCCCGCATCAGGCTCCCCGCTCGGCAGGGGGTCTGCTTCTCACTCTCCCACTCCTCCTGCCTGTGTTCCTTCTCTTGCTCTGTCTCTCTCTGTCAAATAAACAAATAAAATCTTAAAAAAAAAAAAGAAGGAATCCCAGAAGAATAAGAACGACTGAAGAAAACAAGTTGAGGATACATGTAGGATGCCATCATTTTCATAAAGATCCAAGAACTGAACAATATACTGTTTAGGAATACTTAGAAATATAATGGAAGTCTTCAAAAAGAAAAGCAAGGGAAAAATAAATGTGAACTTGAGGAGGTGTTTGCCACTTTGGGGGAGGGAGGGACACAGGGTAGATGAGAGGAAAACAAAGGTAGCGGCAATGCTATTGGGAATGTTCTAATATTTTTAAATTTGGGGAAAACATTTAAAAAACTTAGATTTGTGGGGCACCTGCGTGGCTCCGCTGGTTAAATGTCTGACTCTTGATTTCAGCTCAGGTCATGATCTCAGGGTCCTGAGACTGAGCCCCAGGTTGACCTCCATGCTGAGCATGGAGCGTGCTTAAGGTTCTCTCTCTCCTTCTCCCTCAGCACCTCCCCTGCCCCCCCCAAAATATCTTAGATTTGTAAACACGTTTCCCATTTCAAATGATAGTACTCATTAAAAGTTAAAAAAAGACACTAGCATTTCATATTATTCATTATAAGTTTTTATTTTTATTCAACAGGATTTCATATTACTCATTACAGGTTTTTACTTTTTAAATGTATACAAGTTTTATTCAAAGATACTGGATCCTTGGTACTTTTTTTAAAAAAGGGAATGAAAACACACATTTTATGTATAAAAGGAATCAGATGAAACAGCTTTGAAGTTACAGAAAAGCAATGTAAAAGGAAGTAAAATGTAAATAAAGAAAAATAAAAATAACATAAAATTAAAATAAATATAAATCAATAAACAAAATCAAATAAATAAAATAAATAAAAAATAAAATAAACAAAAATATCAAAAATGAAAACTAAAGTCAAAAGGAACATAAAAGGGAAGAAAATTTTAAATGGTACTACAGTTTCAACAAAGTGGTTTTATCCCTTTAGAATCCTAGAGCAAGCAATTTAGGTTTTTAAATAAATAAGATTATATGTATTTATTCTGATCCTAGCTCTGTTCCATTGCTATGATTTTACATGCTGCTGGTCATAATCATTTATTAATCTTTTAATGTGAACCAGCTTGTTATAAAGATACTGGCATCTATGTTTTTCTGCATAATAATTGGGATTAATCTGCTTCATCTTCTGATATTCTAGAGAGATTTTCTTATTAATATCTTGATATTCTTTTGAGTCTGGAGAAAGGTGCTTCCTCTTTGAATCTAGGTTAATAAATACTCTAGATAAAGTCAGCATCTTGGCATACAAGCCCTGATACTCATCATATTCTACTCTAAACTCCTGCTCATACTGCTGACGCTGCTCGGAGGAAACTATTGGGACATAGTTTGCCAGAGAACCTGGGAGCCCGGATGCTGCACTAGTCTTCCCGGGAGCAGTGCACACCTCTTTAACTTCTTGTTTGGAGTCTGGCTTTGCACCTTCACCTTGTCTTTCCCGATCTGTCTCCTGTCTCCCCATCATGTCAATGTCGTACTCTTGGTCCTTTGCTTCACGTTCAGTAAACGTATATTCAGACTTCTTATCAGACATCAAAAGTTCTGTCTCCATAGGCTCTGGGTATGTCATTTGAATTGAGACAGAGGGTACTGTTTTCAAGGGAGGATGTTTAGCCCCCGGGCTCCCTGAGATGTTTGTATTTTCACTAAAGCTGGGAACACGGGGACCTAGAGTCTCAGGTCTTTCTGCGTTGCCCCAGGAATTGCTGCCGGAACGTGCAGGCTGAGGAGGCTGTGAAGAGGGAGGGTGGGTTGTGGGCAGCGGAGGACGGATGGGAGAGGCAGTCGCCTCAGAACGTCCCGAGAGCCCTAAAGCAGATTTTGCACTGGTGTTCATCACACAGCCATTCGGTGTTGACTGTATTCCGGTTGTGAGGCGAGATATTCTAACTTTTCTCCTCGACAAATTAATAGCTGCATTAGAAAGTTGTTCCCGAGATGTTCCATCTCTACCACAACCTACAGAAGATTCTGTAGAATTGGTACCCGTTGCATTCTGTAATGCATCTACTTTTCTGGAAAGCACCAACTCCAGTGACTGCCTCTCTACTTCGTTATACCCTGGCCAATCTTTCTGGAGCTCCTTAAAGACGTAATCCTTTAAGGTATATGAGAAATTCTGAGTATTTAGATTGGCTACTTGGTGCAGAATTTCCCCAAGGGAGTTCTTGTCATTTTTGGTAATGCCGTCTTTCTGCAGTCGAGTGAGTAGTTCGGGTTTCTTATAGTCCTTCAGCGCCAGCAAGTGAATCACCCTGTCCCTGTACGGCCTCAGGTGGACACTGCTAGCATTTCTTGACTTTCGAATTGTGTATGCAGGGTTAATAGGAGCTGTTCTTTTTCTCTCGGGCACTGGATCTGGGTTGACTTGAGGTGCTCTCCGAACTGGCATTCTTTTCTCTAAAGATGGTTTTCGGATAGTTTTCCATTTGTTGCTCCTTCCTTCCTCTGCCTGGATCCTTCCTACTTGTGTTGTCTGGTAGGAGTCGGTTGCTTTACACATCATATTATCCTGCATCAAGCTCAGGCAATCAAACTGGGAGGGGCTGTAGCTTGAGACAGTTTTTTGGGTATCGTCTTCATGGTTGTCTTTATTCACATCTGACAACAAAAAGTTAAAGTCGTATATATCAGTGGGTGAATTGTCTGGGGAGGTTTTGATAAGATCTTGGAATTCTTGGAAATGAAGAGAAGCTTGAGGGGACCCTGTGTTCTCGTGGTTGTTGTAAGAGTCAGTTGCCCAAATGGACGGTCCAGGAAGCTGCAAAGGCAGCACAGTGACGTTGTCCTGCCTGGGCTGTAAGCCATCTGCCTCCTTTACTGCCACCTCTCCTTCATCGTTTAACAGTTGCTCCAGTGCTCTAATGCCTTCAAAGTCTCCCATATAGTCATATCTGTGAAGATCAAAGTTCAAACGGTAATATACTTTAGAAAATGATAACTCTCCTTGGCAATAAAAATAAATGTTACTGCTATCATTTCTAAAACTGTAATTCTAAAAGATATTTCCCAACAGAACAAAGGCAAGAAGTGCTTGGTTGAGATAGAACCTGGAGAGCTAAAGCTGGTTATAATGATCTTATCACTTTCCAATGTTCTCCCATTCACATCTTAGTCCGTCTTTAGGAGGAAGTCTTACCTTACTAGAAAGTAATTAGTCTCTGAGCTCAGTGCGTAAAAGTCATCTCCTCCCAGTAAACCCAACATCAAGCCGAGGTACTTGGTGAGGGGACTAATGAGGCCGTAGAAGCTTATGGAAACTAGAGGGGAAGGCTTCCACACAGCATGATTAGAAGTAAGGCCTCCTTGCATTTACTCTCACAAGCAAGCGGGGTGTTGAGTCCTTTCTGGGACTGGAGTTTGACCCATCAACCACAACTCTCATTTTGTATTTTGTATTCATTTTGTATTGGTAGTGTGTAAAAGCCAGATGCTCTCATAAAGCCTACATTCTTGCCATGTTTTTCTGCACATGTCACATCCATCCACTCTTCTCTCATACTACAGCCACTGTCTTAATTTAGGCCAAGAAAATCTTAGCCAATATTACATACTCTTCTTAACTTGATTTCTTGCCTCCAACCTTTTCTCGTTTTAGACCATATTCCAAATTGTCAAAAATGATTCCAATCAACTGTGCTTTAAAACAATTGATGGTTACCACTACTTAAAGAATAAAGTTAATGAAAAGGTACTCAACATCACTAATTGTCAGGAAATACAAATCAAAACCACAATGACCTAGAATGTTATAAGGGTTATGATCAAAAATAGAAGAAATAAGAAGTGTTGGTAAGGGAAAGGGAATGCTTATATACTGTTTATGAGAATGTAAGTTGGTGCAGCCACTGTGGAAAACAGTATGGAGATTCCTCAATCAGTTAAAAATAGAAATACCATTTCATCCAACAATCCCACTTTGGAGTATGTACAAAAAGAGAGAGAGAGAGAGAGAGAGAGGAAGGAAGGAAGGAAGGAAGGAAGGAAGGAAGAGTAAGAAAATGAGATCTCAAAGAGTTATCTCTACTCCCATGTTCATTGCAGCACTATTTACAATAGTCAGGACATGGAAAAAAAGTGTCCACCAATGGATGAATGGATAAAGAAGACGTGATATGCTTATATTCTACCATGAAAAAGAAGGACATTCTACAGTTTGTGACAAGGATGGACCTAGAGGGCATTATGCTAAGTGAAATAAGTCAGAGAAAGAAAAATACCGTAACCATATGATATCACCTATATGTTGAACTTGAAACAGCAAAACTCACAGAAACAGACTAGAATGGTAGCTACCAATGGCTGAGGAGGAAAAAGGGGGGTATTAGTCAAAGATATAAACTTCCAGTTATAAGATGAATAAGTTCTCGGGATCTAATGTAAAGCACAATGGTTATAGTCATAGTACTGTATTTTATAGCTGAAAATTGCTAAGTGAATAGATCTTAAATGTTGTCACCACCAAAAAGAAATGGTAATTTAATGATATGATGCAGGTGTTAGCTAATGCTATGGCAGTAATTATTTTGCAATATATAAATGTATCAGATCAATATGCTGCATACCTTAAACTTACACAATATTATACATCAATTCTATTTCAATAAAGCCAGAAAAGGGAATAAAATTTTAAAGCACTTTGGTGTGACATATAAGACCCTTCTTATTCTGGCCCCAACCTACCCTAAACTTTGTGCCATGTATCTAAATGCTACATTGATCTACTAGTCTCTGAATATGACCCCAAACTTTTCCTATGGCAGCCTTTCACTTGATAGTCTTTCTACTCACTAAAGTTTCTCCCCAGATCTTTGCTTGCACTGTTCCTTCATTCAGAGTCCTTGCACAACCATTCTAAAATAGTAATACACGCACCTACCCACTCCAGTGCTCTCTTTCTATGTTATCACCAGAAATTATGTTACATAGATCTGTTTACTTAATGTAAGTCACCCTTGCCAGAATATGATCTTAATGCAGGCTTGGATTTTATCTGTCATTTGCACTGCCATATCCCCAGTGCCTAGAACAGTGCCTGGCACACACACTAAGTACTCAGTACATATTATTTGAGCAAATGAATACATCAGTGTATTGATGTTTGTGAAGAAGGAATAAGAGTACCTTTGCATTTCTCCCAGCAAAGCTATATTACTGTCACATCAAGAAGTTATATTAAATCTGTTAATATCCGAGAAATGTTCTGTTCTTTAAGATGTTTTTCATGATTCTATTAACTTTACAGTATATTTGTATTTTAAGTCACTGCTGCAGAGAGAATGCAAAATACTTCTGCAGAAAACCAATGACCTGCTGAAGTACATTCAGCACCGTAGTGTTCTAATGTACACACAAATGCTTGGTTTTATTCTTCCTGGAGACCTTGAGTAGACACAGGAAGAAATCATCTATCTTTCAGTATGTTTAAGTCTGCAACCTCCGGGAGAATAAAATATTTCTAGGGTAGTCCTGTGCCCAGTGGAAATAACAACAACAAAATATTCATTAACACAAGACTGGGAAGTGGGACACATTATGACAACAAGTACAAAATGGTATTGATAGACATGAAAGAAGACTTGAGAACATGAAGAATTCACGATTTCTGAAAAGAAAACTCCATACTGTTAAGAATGCCAAGCGTTTTTTCAATTACCAAATGCATTTAGTACAATTACAATAACAACGTGAGCAGAATTTTTTCTCTTTAAATCTGTCAAAACTATTCTAAAATTCAACTGCAAGAAGGAGAGCAAGAACAGAGGGTTAACCCTACCTGATATTATCACATAAAGATAGAATAAAGGGAGTCAGGAACTAGCATAAGAAGAGATTGAAAGTCAATGAAAATGAAAAGATAACTGAGACACAGAGCCCAGGAATTAAACAGATGATTTTTTTAAAAGATTTTATTTATTTGAAAGAGAAAGAGATAGTGACAGAGAACAGGAGCGAGTGGGGAGGAGAGGGAAAAGCAGGCTCCCTGTTGAGCAGGGAGCCTAGACACAGAGCTTGCAAGGACCATGGGATCGTGATATACCATATTATAGAATGAATTTCAAGTACATGGAAGAATTAAAATATGAAGCCCTAAGACAACAAAAGGCTTGAAACTTGAGAGTAATGGCAACAATCACATAGAAAAATATAAGCATAATGTATTGCACACAAAATAATTATCATATAAAGAACACTCAAATTTTATCTCATCAAACCCCCAAATTGGTATCAAAATAACCAAGGCTTGAAGAATAATACTTGATTTCTCTGTTTCGGGGCACACAGGATAATATCACAATCATGACCTAATGAGCACTGCTGCAAAGATATTTGTTTGCATGGGCTTTAAGAAAAAGTTATTTCATCAAACTATTGAACGCTATCCTAACTTTCTGATTAATACAGTGTTAATATCATGATAATAATAATAATAAATTATATTCCAACAAAATTGAGTATCTCTTCTAAATTGTCTAGCTTGCCATGTTGTACCATGAATAGGTGTTTATTTCAAAGGCACTATGTGACTGGATGGAAATAACAAATAAAATGACTACACAACTCATATATTTTGAAAGGTCATTGGACAATTGCTGTCTCATTTTGGCAAGCCACTCATAAATCTACCTGGCTCTCTAGCAAATGCTGATGCACTTACAATGACAAAACATGATTAATCCATCTCAAAGTAATATACAGTTGACCCTTGAACACAGGGGTTAGGACTGCCAACCCCCTACACAGTGAAAAATCCACATATAACTTCTTACTTCCTGAAAACTTAACTATGAAGAGCCTACGGTTGACCAGACGTCTTACCAATAACATACCAGTTGATGCAAATATTTGTATATGTATTATATACTGTATTCTTACAGTAAAGTAAGCTATCAAAAAGAACACTTATTAAGCAAATCACAAGGAAGAAAAGGTATATTTACAGTCCTACACTGTATTGATCAAAACCAAATCCAAGTATAAGTGGATCCACACAGTTCAAAGCTGTGTTAAGGGTCAACTGTACTTACTTCTTATTACACATTGGTAAGACTTCAAAACCTGCCTTTGACCACTGAGGTCACTCCACTCAAACTACTGAGCCCATCAACCCACACACTCTGGGCTACCCTGTATGAGAGAGCAGAAGGCACAGGGAACCACTAGGCCTGTATCTCGCTGAGACCCACTCTCTAGCCTGCTTGCCGGCTTTGTCATAAAACATAGTAACCAGTTAAATCCAATTTGAGTCACTCTTGCCAGTTATCAAACCTCTTGAGATCTGGCCTAATTTAGAACGGATTCTACCACTTCTCACCTATCCATTGTTTTGGGTCATCATCCAAACCACAAGCTCCAAGGGAGCTCTACTCTCTTCTCTGTGTGCCCGCACACTGCTCAGAATTTCCTTTGCTCCACCACATCCCTACCTACTAGAACTCTGACATCACAGTTAGCAGTGTTCTTGAACATTGACCATCTCTAAATTTAAAGCGAAATTCAACTTTCCCCAAGAAAGCTACTTTATCTAGAGCTCTCTCAAAGGAAACCCACTTGTTTTCTCTGACTCTATATACCTCAGGGTTGATACATACATATATGCCAGGTGCACATATGTTCACATGTGTGCTAACGTTAATGGCTTTGACAGGCAACATTCCCCCTAAAACTTGAAAGCACAGACTTGATGTATTATGTTCATGGTTTTGGTCCATGCTTCAGTGTATCTATATGCTCTGATTAGAGATGAATCTTATTCTTCAGGTGACTATAATGCTTCTTGATTTTTTGATTCAGCATTTTATAGACTTATGGAATCATCTCTTCCATATTCTCAAATTTCTCCTCTCAGAATTGTCACAGTAATCTGCAGTAGTGCTGTGATATGTTTTCTGAGGCTATAACAAAACAGAATATACGTCCACACAAATAATTGGAAATGCTTTCATTAAACCAGCATGTAGACTATGATTAATTTAATACTTCCCTTGTGTAGAAACCTTTTTAAGGGAACATTCTGTTCCTACCTTCCTAATTCCCTGAAATCCCCTTGTTACATAATGCTAAGGTCCTTGTTTCTACTAAAGTCATGTTGATTTTTTTTTCCTGTCTGGCTTAGTAGAGAGTGAAAAAAGCTCAATATCAAGATCCCCCTTGGGGGGGTGGCTCAGTCAGTTAAGTGTTTGCCTTCAGCTCAGGTCATGATCCCAGGGCCCTGGAATAGAGAGCCCCAAGTCAGGCTCAGCAGGGAGCCTGCTTCTCCCTCTCCCTTGTGCTCTCTCTCACTCTCTCTCAAATAAATAAATAGATAAAATCTTAAAAAAAGATCCCCCTGGAACCTGAGATTGTAGCCACACTCTTATATTTTGATTGATCTCCTCAACAATGGTAGTCATTTAACTTTTGATTTCCTTCCAAGTAGTTTTTTTTCTTTCCATTCAGAACAGATTATAAATATACATTTTTCAAATATTATAAATATACTTTTTTCAAAGAACTGATAATAGTTCTAAAAAATCCTTGCTAAGTGAAATGCCATTAGGATTGAGCTTTTCACAGTCACATAATAATCCTAGTGAGGCCTGCCTAGCCCATATTCAAATGGAATTTTGAGCAACTATAGGCACCCACTGTGTGCCAGTAAAGCCCAGCATGCATAGGGCCCATTGGGTACTTGCTGGATCAATGTAGTAACTCTGTGTTCTATCTTTTTTTTCCAAGTTTTTATTTAAATTCCAGTTAGTTAACATAGAGTTTAATATTAGTTTCAAGTATAGAATTTAGTGATTCATCACTCACATACAACACCCATCACTCATCACAAGTCCTCTCCCAACATCCATCACCCATTTAACCCATCCCCATACGACCTCTCCACCAGTAACCCTCAGTTTGTTCTCTATAGTTAAGAGTCTGTTTTAGGGTTTGCACCTCATTTTCTGTTATCCCCTACATTCATCTGTTTTGTTTCTTAAACTCCGCATATGATGGAATCAGATGGTATTTGTTTTTCCCTGATTTATTTCACTTAACATAATACTCTCTAGCTTTATCCATGTCATTGTAAAATGGCAAGATTTTGTTCCTTTTTATGGCTGAGTCATATTCCATTGTATTTCTATACCACTTCCTGTTTATCCACTCACCAGTCAACGGACATTTGGGCTCTTTCCATTATTTGGCTATTGTTGACAATGCTGCTACAAACATCAGGGTGCACGGATCATTTCAAATCACTACTTTTGTATCATTTGGGTACAAAATACCTAGTAGCAATTGCTGGATCATAGGTAGTTCTATTTTTAACTTTTTGAGGAACTTCCAAACTATTTTCCAAAGTGCCTGCAAGAGCTTGCATTCCCACCAACAGAGCAAGAGAGTTCTCTCTTCTTTGTATCCTTGCCAACACCTGTTGTTTATTGTGTTGTTAATTTTAGCCTTTCTGTCAGGTGTGAGGTGGTCTCTCATCATGGTTTCGATTTGTATTTCCCTGATGATGAGTGATGTTGAGCATCTTTTCATGGGTCTGTAGGCCATCTGAATGTTTTCTTTGGAGAAAAAAAATGTCTATTCGTGTCTTCTACCCATTTCTTACCTGGATTATTTGTTTTTTGGGTATTGAGTTTGATAGTTCTTTATAGATTTTGGATACTAAACCTTTACCACGTATATCTTTGCAAATATCTTCTTCCATTCCATAGATTGTCTTTCAGTTTTTGTTGATTGTTTCCTTCACTGCGCAAAAGCTTTTTATCTTGATCAAGTCCCAACAGTCCATTTTTGCTTCTGTTTCCCTTGTCTCTGGCCGATGTGTCTAGCAAAAAGTTGCCGCGGCTGAGGTCTCAGAGGTTGCTGCCTGTGTTCTCCTCTAGGATTTTGATGGTTTCCTCTCCCACATTTACATCTTTCATCCATTTTGAATTTTTTTGTGTGTGTATGGTGTAAGAAGGTGGCCCACTTTCATTCTTTGGCATGCTGCTGTCCAGTTTTCCCAGCACCATTTGTTGAAGAGACGGTCTTGTTTCCATTGGACATTCTTTGCTGCTTTGTCCAGGATTAGTGGACCAGAGAGTTGAGAGTCCATTTCTGGGTTTTCGATGCTGTTCTGTTGATTTATGTGCCTGCTTTTGTGCCAGTACCACACTGTCTTGATGATGACAGCTTTGTGATAGAGCTTGAGGTCCAGAATTGGGATGCCTCTGGCTTTGCTTTTCTTTTTCAAGATTGCTTTGGCTATTCGAGGTCTTCTGTGGTTCCATACAAGTTTTAGGATTGTTTGTTCTAGCTCTCTGAAAACACGGGTGGGATGTTGACAGGGATTGCATTAAATGTGTAGATTGTTTTGGGTGGTATAGACATTTTAACAACATTTGTTCTTCTAATCCAGGAGCATGGAATAGCTTTCCATTCCTCTGTGTCATCCTTGATTTCTTTGACACGTGTTTTTCAGAGTAGAGATCTTTTACCTCTTTGGTTAGGTTCATTATTCCTAGGTATGTTACGGTTTGGGGTGCAATTGTAAATGAGCTTGATTCCTTGATTTCTCTTTCTGCTGCTTCATTACTGGTGTATAGAAATGCAACCGATTCCTGTAAGTTGATTTTCTATCTTGTGACTTGATTGAATTCATGTATCAGTTCTAGCAAATGTTTTTGGTGGAGTCTTTTGGGTTTTCTATATAGAGTGTCATGTCACCTGCAAATAGTGAATGTTTGACTTCTTGCTTGCCGATTTGGATGCCTTTTATTTGTTTTTATTGTCTGATTGCTGAGGCTAGGACTTCCAGTACCATGTTGAAAAACATTGCTCATCCCTGTCTTGAATGTCATTATGAAGAGAGATCATATAATATCCAGTGCTTCGTGCTTCAGTGTGTCTGGTGTGTGCTGTGTGAGCTCTGCTGCTGTGTTTTGGCTGTTCTGTCCCTCAGGTCAGTCTTCGCAGAGTCTCTCCTTGCCTGCAGTGGGGAGTATTTAGACCTTGGCCAGAGCGTGGTGAGTTTTAAGTAGGTGTGATCTGGTGTTGCTAAGAGACCTCATGTTACTTCCACTAAAGGTGAAGTTTGCAGAACACTGTGGTCCACAGACATGGTGCTTGTGGGTGTTTGTGCTGGTTTTCTGGGGGAGGGGTCCAGTGCGCTGCTCTTTAGGTACACTTGCTGAGAAAAATAGTCCCAGCAGAGTATAGAGGGCAGGACTTGGAGTAAGCAGGCTAGGCAACCAGTGTTGTCGCCATGCTTTTTATAGAAGTTGGTTCATGCTGAAGGGAGGGAAAGGGAAATGGCACCAGCCCACTACATTATCCCTGGACAGGGGGTAGTCTGTGATGACTGCTCTCAGGGAAGCACTTTCAGAGGAGCGAATAATTTTCCCTCGTGCATCACAGGCATTTTTCAGATCCCTGATTTCACACTGTCTGTCTCTGGGTCACTTTCCTGCCTGGAGCAGCATAGCACATTGTGGGCTCTACCCTAGCCAGGCCCGCTGACTCTGAGCATTCCAACCTCCAGAGACCGGGTATGGCAGGGACCTATGCTGGTCCTCTGGGAAAGGGTCTCACTGTGCTGGGACTGAGGCTGGTTTGACCTGGAAGGGCAGTCGCGCCAGAGCACAGGGGCATGGGATCTGGAGTGAGCCAGCTAAATAGCCAGTTTCCCAGTTAGCTGCACTGAGAAGGTGTCTCTGCATCTTTGCTGAGGGGCAGGTGAGGGAAATGGCACCTGCTGGCTCTTTTGTCCCCTGAGAGGCAATGCCATCTCTCACAGATGTGCTCTAAAAAGTACAAACAGTCTCTCCCTTTGCCTCTTAGGTGACCTTCATATGGTACCATCTGCCCCTGGATTGTTTCCATATCTCATCTCCAGAACAGAGTTGTGTCCTCTAGTCTCTATCACAGAGAAGCCTCGGGACTCTAAAACTCCAGTCTCGGAGCCCCACTGGTCGCAAAAACTCACAAAATTCAGCCCCTCTTGTTCTTACAGCCAATGGCTTTGGGGACGTGTTCTCCTTGTGTGGACCCCTGTGTGCTCCACTCTCTCTCCCACCTTTCTCTGCAGCCAGGGTTTGCTCCCCTCAGCAGCAACTGCAATCTGTTTCTCCCCCAAAACATGCCTCCTACCTTCCTTGAAGTGGCTTCTTCTCTCCCTCTGGTCGTGCAGTTTTTTCTATCAGTATCAGTCCCCAGGTCAATTTCTTGAGTATTCAGAATATTATGATAGTTATCTAGCTGTGTTAGAGGGATGAGGCAAGCAAAGGGTCCTCCTACTACACCAACACCTTAGCTCTGCCACTCCTGTGTTCTATCATTTTTAGCAGCCAAAACTGTACATTCAGAAAGGACAATATTCTAAACTGTGAGTCAGTTTGGTTAGCATAACCTTTGCCACGGTTTAATCTGTTTTGGACTTCTGG